AAAATGTATACATTATTGATCTAGACCTCACAGGTTTATTAAAACAAATTAAAACACAGAGTTTGGCTAGAGATCAGTCTACTTATACTGGAGTTTTCTCACTAAAGCAGCTTTCTACATTTTGATTTACAAAAAAAAAAAAAAAATCTCGGATTTATTTAAAGTAAAAACATGTGTTGTAATTCAACAATAAACCCAGACCTTCCTCCGTCAATGGCACCTCAATTACACTGCTTTAGTGAATTACTCCGTAAGATGGCTGCCAAACATTCAGCAGCTGTGGTCTCTTTGTATTATAATAAGATGCTCAACTGTTTCCTATTCTAAAAAAAAATTGACACAGCTGTCCGATGTTCTGGCCTCAGCGTTCGTTCCATTTTTTTTTTTACAGAAGCCCAGGACAAATCTTTTTCACATTTACCCATCATTGTGTTGCCATTGAAATGAGGTCAATTTATGCATTAATGAATAAGGTTTGAAAGAAATGATGTCTGCACTTCGGTGTATGCCTTAGCACTACTGCTCAGTTTTTGACTGCACTTGGTTGAACCTTTTGATGAAGCCAGAAAATGAAAAAAAGGACCCCCCCCCCTCTGTATTTTAGAAAAGTTGAAAATGAACTGTCACAGACAATGACACATGGATATATGATGGATGACTGTGGATACACTGCTACTCAATCTTTCCATCTTTTTTTTTAGTTATTCTCGCTGTTTCATTTCTTGCCGGAAAGCCATTATCTCCATCGGTCTTCGCATTCCAGCCAAATCCGCTGTAACTGACCAAACTCAGCCATAGGGAAGAAAAAGCCATTCTGTTACTGTTGAATTACATTTTCTTGCCCGAACATCATTTGTTCATACTGTGCCATTACTGTAATATTATATTTTATAGCTATGTGGAAATGGCATGGACGCCACTGCAGTTAAAGTTAGTTTTGATTCTGACTACATTTGTGTACGCATGTACACAAATGTAGCCCCGTGAGACGACTGGTTGTGAGGGTGTGTCTTTAGGTTCTTGTAAAATAAATATAACAGAAGCTGCAGAGTGGACCAGAACAAATGTCAAATTGTTCAGGATCAATGAGAGGAGCCCAAATATTAATTCATTGTTTTCTTCTTGTGTGTACCTTTGTGGCCCTCGCTCTACTATTGTTAGTGTGTTTGTGCATTTGTAGCCATTCACCCTCCTCTTTTTTTTTTTTTACAATTTCTCTCTTTTTCTCCTTTACTTCCATTTCCTTTAAACCCTTCTTTGCTCCTACGACCGCACCAGCACTTTTTCACCTAGTCCCTGTTATTAAATCTCATAGCAGTTAGTTGATTTGATCAGTGTGTGCTGTAACATTGTTTACCGCTGTGGGACCGAGGAGTTATAGACATACTCATCTTTCCTGCTCTGTTTCTCACTTCCATTCTCGCTATTTCTCCTCAAGTCGGGCAATAACGTAATTTCTCCAGGGGGAAAGAAAAGCTATCTCGTGACTGGAGGGAAGCTTATACAATTTGGGTTTAGGTATATAAACCAATGTCACAAAACAAAAAATCGTAGATGCAAGGAGCCAGGGATTATGCAGACTGTTTAAGGTGGGACTTTTTCTGTGATCTACAGTGCAATGAACCAAAGACGAGGACAAACTGAGGTTTAAAAAAAAAAACAATAAAAAAACAAGGCCAAGTGCAAACATTTTCTGTTTATTTGGATGTGGATGTTGTGGATGACTCAGAGCCTGCAGAGCCTCAGATCACCACGAGGCCTTTTCTATATGCACCCACAGCAGATGGTGACCAGTGGCATGAGGTTCTGGAAGGCGCTAACATGCTGTTTGTAATATCTGGAAGCACACAGTCTGCACTGTGACGGTTGTTATCATTATTGCCGTGTCCAAGAAAATAGCAAGAGGGAATCAAACTGCTGTCTCTGCTGTGTTGATGGAGGAGAAATGGAATATTTATAGACCTGATGCATTCGCGATCTTATCTCCTTCTGCTTAATACACTGATTCCGACATGCCGACAGCATCCAGAGGTTTGAGGAGGGAGATGGATCCTCCGACTTTGCTGTGTGGGCAATTGTATATTGGTGTGATATTATTAAAGAGAAGAATGGAAGCTTCCCTGTGCGTTTACAGTTCAATATATTGACGTTGTGTCCTGATGATGGGCCTTATCGTCTACATTTTGTAATATTTTTGTAAGAAAACATTTATTTATATAGATTCATTAAGTAACACAAAAAGATGTGACGTACTTTGTGGATTTTGATGCAAAAAAAAAGTTGTTGGTGTGTGTTGGTGTGTGTGTGTGTAAGCACCACATTCTTCACTTACTCTACGTGCTCCATATGCAGCAGCATTGCAGGCAGTACCTCCCACCCCCCTGCCAGCTTGACAACAATCACAGAACGGCTTGGCACAGGAGAAAAAGTAGCTCTCTGGCGTCCGTCCTATTCTCCAGCATGGTTTTTGTCGAGTCAGAGGAAACCATCTGCTGCCCGTTGATAATGGCCAGCCGGGGAGGAGGGGACAGGAAATGGAAAGAGGAAGTAAAATAAAGGGGGAAAACAGCAGGACATTTCCCAGTACCTTGTGTGTATTCCCCTCCTGAAGTTTGTCTGCCATCTCAATAAACATCACCTCTGGTAATCCTGGTTTTCTGTGCGTGCACATGTATCCTCGCCCGCTGTGTAAAAATACACGTCTGACTTTATTTGCGTGTGTATAAAATCTATTCTACCTTGATCATCTTAGAGCCGGGATTGTATCTGAGGCTGGCTGATGTGCTGTCAACATGATGGTAATGATTAGGAACATCTCCCCCCACCCCCCCACCCATCCCCCCGGAACACTAAAGCAATGTCAGAATGCTTCCACATCCGCAGAGTGGATGGTTTTTGGACTTGGGTAAATGGGTGGTGGTGTTAATGAGACCCTGTTATCAGGCCCGTTCAAAGGTAAAGGCGAGTACATCAGCAAATGTTGCGAGCTAATGAGGAGCCACCTGTAAGGAGGAGTGGATAAAACATGATTGGAGAAGGACTACAGGAAAGAACAGAGTGTAGGAGGGAAAATGCTCATTAAAACAAATAGTCGGCCATATAGTAAACCCAGAGCTTGAAAATACTCTGAATTTTCCTTCCTGAAGTCTCCAGGGCGCTTAGATGAAATTGAACGCTTAGGGCATTCTCTGAGTAAACCGTTGCAGTTTTCTCTTGTCTAAGGTCGACAGGTTGAGCCGGACAAAAAGACCTGACAGCCAGTCTCTCTCTAAACCGAGCGTCACCCTTTTACTCCATCACTCTGCCTTCTCCTTCGCCTTGAGATGTTTTTTTTTTTATTTCTCCTTCCTGCAGCACTTACAAACTGCCAGAGAAGTTTCGCAATGGATTTGTCAAGACAGTGACATTTCCTAAACTTCTTAGCTTCTTTAACTTTTTTTACAGATCAGTTGTTGTGCTGCAGAAATACCATTTCAGTCTCACAACAACCTGTTTATAATTTATCTAAAGGGAACGTTAAGATATAGCGCAAACAGTGTTGACGTGAAATTTGAAGGTTTTACGTGAATTCACTGAAGCTACAGTTTTCGGCTTTGTTGAGGTGCAGTCGGTGCACTCAGCTTCAACGGTCGTTGGAATGCACGATGGCGTGCTTAATGAAGTTGACGCCAGGTCAGGAAGGATAATGGAATTGTGGGATGCAGGGATCAACCACAAGGACACAGGAGGGGGGCCCAGTGACCAGGTCTTTTCTATTAACTCAGGATGCTGGCTCGAGTGAACAGAGGAATCAGGGCTTGGCTCCGGCCTCTCCCTGCCTGGCTGTTAGACCGAGCTTCCAAACTGCAGATAGGGGAAGCAAATATTGCTCAGGGTGCAGTGGTGATTAACCCTGTGTTTTCATCAGTCTGGGCCGTCCTGATAACATTTCTTACTCCCCTCTGCCACAGCCAAATATTAGAGATACCAGTGCTTTTGAACTGAATTGAATGCTTCCCTCCGCCTCCGTACTCACACACGTCTTCTCCCTGCACCGACGTTCTGACTGCTCAATTTGTTGTGTTTGTGTCCTGAATTGTTACTCTTACAAGTTAAAGCGTGTTTACAGATATTTCCATGCAGTTAAAAAGTTGCACATTAATATATGTCTCAAGCAGTAATATTATTTTATATATATCTAACTTGCTGCCACCCACTTTGAGAACCACCGCTGCAGATTGACCAAAGGCAAGAGTTTGAGTGTGAATGGTCGTTTGTCTCCGTGTGCAGCTCTCTGATGGATGAACCGTTCTTACTCAGAAGCTGCTGGGATTGGTTCTGACCAGGCCTGTGATACTGGAATGGATTTAGTGCTGCAGGATGGACGAGTGAATGAACGAGTGATGAACGAGTGAATGAACTACCATAGGTTGATAAATGAGGCACTCAGTCATGGGGCACGCATTTGTGTTCTTTGGTAAATCAAGGGTCTGTGCATAACTCATTTTTTTAATTTTTTTTTTTTTTTATTGCATGTTAGAAAGTGTGTCAAACCTTACAGGAAATTAGTTTGTAAATTATTCCAAAATAATTCTCTGGGGGAAAGTTTGAAATTAACATCCAGATGGAGACAAGTGATTGTTATTTACATTCTGAAAGTGAAATTCCAGCCCTTTGGTAAAGTCTCATGAGGCTGTAAACATTTTTTTCTTGCTCCAATTATACATATGTATGCTGTAATCACCACTCACTCACTTCTAATTATATGCTACACTCCATAATGCTCACTTACCTACCTCAAAGAACACTTCAAATAGATGTGATTTTTTTTTTCATACTAATGAATAAGACATTGTACTTCAACCTTAAGATTCTACTGACACTGAGTTTTAAGTAATTTACATCAGAGTGAGATGGAAAGATCAAGGGGTGTTAAGTGTTTTGCTTTCAGTTCTTGCATATTTTTTTTAACTTCTGTCCTTGTATGCTGCTCTAATCAGTGTTGGTTGTCATTGCTGCAGGTCTCGGGTTTGTCACCTGGAGACAACCAGACCCCAGGACTGCTGCTGGCTCCAGGGGTGAGATGGGGGCAGACGCCCATCAACCAGCTCACACCGTGGGATACAGATGAGCCACCTGCCAAGCAGCATCGAGACAGCGAACCCACTGGTAATGAATCATACACATTTCTACGCACACACACGGGCCTCGAACATCCTGACAGTGACATCGACTCCAGCTCTGCATGAAGTGAGCTGATGACGATACAAGTTTTATATCATCGTTTGCCTGGACGTGTCAGATGTTTCCATGTACAGTACATGGACCGCACACTGACACATCTCTGGGCGGCTGCATTAGCATCCGATGCTAATGAGGCATCGCGGACGACTTGCCCTATATGCGTATATACATTGTTGTTTCCGCAGCATGCATCCCTTCCCAACGCAGCCATGCATAATGTACATCTCTGAACACCGTCTTAACATAAACCTGATTAACTCCGCATATAATAATGCATTTATAAGAGAGTCAATAGATTCAAGTTGTTCTTTCCTCAAATTTAACTTTTTTTTACATTGTCCTCAATGGGATTGTATCACTAATTGAAGCTGATATAGTTTAAATTAAACCTATAATGTGAAACTCTAAAAGTCCTTCAACTGTTCTTCACCCAGTCTCGATTAGATGTTGACCTTATTCTAACCGTGCCACTTTGAAACACACACTGAGCCATGGCTGCACCTAAGTGCAGTGTGTGACTTGAAGAGTTAAGTCGATGCTTTTTTTTTTTTTTTCTTTTGCTTTTTTTTTCACTCTCATTGTAATGAACTCGTCCAGAATGGATCTGCCCTGGAGCAGTTAATTTCCCTTTCATTGCTGTGATGGCCTCTGCCTCCTGCTCATCACAAATGTGTCTCATTTAAGAATAATACGGGCACGGAGCTTGCTCCAGTGGAAATTCTGGCTCAGCAAATCCAGATGGTAGACAGCTGTTTCTCAGTGGCAGCAAAGCATTGTGCTGAAAACATGTTTTTTTAACTCCGCTCCTGCCTTTTCTGCTCACCTCCTAATTATAATTCACATATCTTACGAAGCCCATTTGAGAGTGACATTTTGAGTTGCTAGACAATGCAGGGTGGAGTTTGTGTGCCTCCTGTTGTCTGGCGGCTCCCCATCGTGTGGCCACAGCCTCCCGCTGTGCATTAAGTGTCCAACCGAATTGGCCGTGACATTTTGGAAACCTCATTGTTGTGTGTGATTGAACAAGGCTTTCCTCTCTGCTCAGTCTTTTCCCGCTACCACAGGTCCCACACACTGCGGCTATGAGTGAAGTAAGATGTCACCGACGCGGCACACGTTCACATATGACACTCAAATCCAAGCGCAGAGTTGCATATTGATTGGGGTTTGCGTGCGATTCTGAACTGTGGCTGGCGGTATCAATGAAGCCAGCTTCTTTCCACACTTCACTGAACTGTGTTGCCAGAAAGTTCTCTGCCAACTGTGCCAGAATTAATCAACGCTTTCTTTCAAAAGAAACTTTCCTGTTGTTTGGCTGTCAAAGAAAGTTGTCTAAGAAATTCTTTTTTTTCATAACTTTAAAAAAAAAAAAAAACTGTGCGGGTCCTTGTTTCAGTCAGGTCGCGTATACGTAGGCCAAGATGTGGAGGAAAGTGTTTATGTACTGTGATGAAGGCCATCATCAAAGGTACGCCTTGAAATATCACCAGAAGTGCACTTGAAGATACACATAAAGGTCCAATTGATCTAAAGACTGTAATTATGATACAGTACAAAAGCGAATACTGTAGCAGCCCATTAGCTCAGTGGCGTGCTAATCATGAATAGAGATGGCCTTTTCTTTTCTGTTTCTGCCCTTATTGCTTTTACTTCCCAATGAATATTAATAGCTTATTCTCCGTTCCTTCAACTTGTTGCATGCTGTGTAGCCTTCGGCCCTTTGGCAATGTTTTAGGCTATTTGTGGAGGTTGGACTATGACAGGAGGAGATGAGGGAGTGAAAAAGCGCCGAGGCATTTACGCTCAATATGGCCTTGTCCTCCCAGCACACCCCCAGCATCAAATGCCCGAGGATAGGAAAATGATTGGCTAAGTAAACAAAGCCTCCTACGCAGCTAATGGTACTGGCTGCCTCATGCTTTCATCATGTATACTTTCTGAAATGCTGTTGCTAATGCACATAAAACATGCTAGAAGCTGATCTAATGTCACACTAACTATAGGACTTTATGGTCTATTTTGAAGCCCATTCTGCTCTTTCATTGAGGTCAAGGCTACATTCAGTGTCAAAAGTTTTAAACCAAAGTATTTCACTTGAATTTTACTCTGGAATTTGAATTCCTTTTATGTTTGTTATATTACTCAGATTTAATTTTCACTCGAAGTTTCATTTTAAATGGTTTGACCAATTTAACCACCACTGTATGCGGGTGTAAAATTAAGCAGCAGTATTACATAACCACAGTTCTGTTGGGGGCAGAATATTTGTTGCTCAGTTTGAATGGTGGTATTTTTTAGATGAGTGTTAAAGCAAAGATCGTCCACACAAAGCAGATGTATTGTTGACAGCTTAATAGAGAAGAGAAGAAGGAACTGGGATGGTATCAGTGACTGCAGATACTGCATACTCCACTCTAAAGTACACAGTACAGTCATTATAAAACAGAACATTATATTCAATAATTGACTCGTTTTTCGTTTTTGTTTATCGACCAGGTCCTGGGACATGGGCTGCACCAGTAGCAGTGGTGAGCCAGCCTAGCCTCCTGCCCCACACTTACGCCATCCCTCAGCCGCCTTCTTTCAACCACAGTGTGACTGCACAGTCACCCATCATAGGTGTTACACCGTCCATCCAGACATCTGTGCACCCACAACACTCTCTCATGACAGCTCACTTCCAGCTGACGACACAGTCTACACAGCAACCACCTACAATGGTACTGAGCCTGCCTAGCCAGCCTCCGTACCACTCAGCTCAGCCCACCGTCGCACAGACTGTCCTTACTGCCCAGGCCAGTCACGTGGTTCATCAAAGCCCCCATAGCGTAATGGGTAACGGTCATCTAACCTCTCACCCTGGTCTCGTCCAGCCCCATACCCTGCCTCTGACTAATGGACAAGCAGCAGCAGCAGTGGCCGCAGGACAGATTCAGTCCACAACTGCAGACAATCAGGATGGTCCTAATGGGCTTCAGATGCTGCGGACAGTCGGGATGGGAAAGTACGAGTTCAGTGACCCGGGACACCCGAAAGGTAAGCACAGTTGGCCTCAGCTGATGTGGCATATCACTAGAGGCTTTAAACTTTCACAAAATCATTCTTCTTCAGATGTGGAGCCTGTCATGACCAACTTTCAAAGGCTAAATCAAAGCTGATCTGTTCGGCTGGCAGTCTAAGCTCAGAAGTAAATCCAAGGCAGAGAGGTTCAGGGTATTAAATCAGTGTAATCTTATCTTTCTATTCCTTGTGACCTCCCCATATGTGAGGCCGAGGCAAAATGAAACAAATAGGCCTCTGCCTCCTGTCCGTGTACCAGAGCAGTTTCTATTCCAGGAGTCATAAACAAGGCCACAAAGAGTGAAGGATTTTAAAATACAACTTCCACCCCGAGCCAATAGACATCTTAGCGTCTCCAAGGTCAGGGAAAACAGGTGTCCTTATATATCTTAAATACAAAAAATAAATCCTCCTTCAAATATTGTTAAACTACAAAAAGAACATTCATTCTCGCGTGTAAATACGGAGCGCGTTCGCAACGTTGCATACCCGTTCATTTGTTCATCGAGAGGGTATTATCCACATGACTTGTCAGTTTCGCAGCGATACACCTTGTGGGGATGTGATCTGCATTTTAAAGAATCATAAGACCATGTTTATCCATCGTGATAAGAGGGCCGCCGTGTACGACAAGAACACAGGCGCAATCTTGGCACGCGCAAAACACTGGCAGTCACTGCTATTGATAGTCTGGCTCTACATACTAGAGAGGAGTTGTAGTGCAAATACATTCCCTCTGGCAGAGGCTCAAGGCTCCGATGCCACTAATCAGTCAGCATTCAGCTTTTCTTTTTCTTTTTTAGACACATGCATTGATTTATGAGGCGAGGAGTGGTGAGTGTCTGTATGGTATTTGTACAGCCTGACTCCAGATTGTGTGTTAGTATTGAATGTGTGTTAAGGAGTTGCATTGAGAACCATGTAGAGCCCTAGTTGTATGTACAGTATAGTACATTATTTTTTACAAATGCTGTGATCAGTCCATCAGGTGTGAACAAACAGTTGTGTGATTCTGGCATAAGGATTGTTAATATATACAGGAGAGTATAGTTAACTATAAATATATTTTCTTGAACTTCTTAAAATCTTCAAATATGACTTTCCTCAACTTCTAGTAGCAATGATTGTAAGGCCTTAATTCTCCTTCTTAGTTGGTTGGAAACCTCGTTGATTTGCCCTGTGCTTGTGAAGGTGAACCACTGCTTCAGCTCCGTGCCGTAATCTTGCCAGCTGTAAATTGGTGTTTGGTCTAACCTTGGAGTTTATGATGCACAGCTCTAGAAACAGATGCTCACAATCCCCGGACCAATTTTCACATTTAATGAAGCTTTTAATTTAGGTTTAGATTGTTTTCTTTTTCCTGACTCATTTTGATCAATAAAATGTGTGCAAATGAACTTGTAGATTGCAAAAAAGCAATTATTTTGCGGGCTGCCAGCAATATATTGAAATGAGACTGCAGGTAGAATTGGAAATGGATAATTAGACGAGCCCCTCGACTGAGTCCAGCCTCTGGAATGTGAGGTAGAATAGACTGCCGCGACCCATTAACCATGAACGTGTCAAAATGTATTGACCTTTTTCTAACAGGCCAAAAAAAAAGAGAGTTTTATTGAAAGTGGAGATCTACTTTAAAGACGAGGAACAGATAGTTTGTGTAATTAAAAACTTGCTTGATTTACGTTGACCTGAACTGTTAAAAAAAAATATTCCTGAATGCACTCCTAGACGTCGCACACGTTCTAAATCTCGTGCGGCCTTTTATGAAGGTCAAACTGCCAACAGAGGTACTCACATCTCCTCCACCATTCCAGCTGTTTTTCATTCGGTTTGGCAGAGGATATACATTAGTAACCACACCATTGGGGCAATTTCAAAAGGACAGCCGGAAAAGGTGACATTTTCAGCTAAGGGAATTTGCATCCTCGACGTGTTTTAAGCTGACCTGTCTGCTGAGAAGAATACTTATCTCTGCAGCTATAATACCAACAATGGCACCTTTAAAGCCCTTCACCTAAAATTCACGGCCTGAACTCTCCTATCTTCCTGATTATCTATGCCTCTGTGACGTTCCTTTTCTAGAGCGTTCTTGCCTACACTACAAGAAGTCACAGATCCCATCCCATGAAGGACTTATGCCTTCTGTTTCAAATCAATTAACACCTTATATCTTGGAGCTAAGGGTGTTGACTGTTATGTTTCCTGGGACACCTTATATCTTGGAGCTAAGGGTGTCGACTGTTATGTTTCCTGGGTGTAGTGTATATGGAGGTCCAGCTCTCACCAGCTGCATTCTATTTCTTCTCTAACAATTATCCCATACCTGCTGTTGACATTTCGTGAGCATTTAAAACATTTCTGAAGCAACAGAGGGAGATTTGTGAAAAGCCGTTAAAAGCATGTGAAGGTTTCCACAGTCGTCTCTTGGCTGAGCTCTGGATGCTGTCCAACGTTACACTAGAACATTAGATTCTAGAGCATCACGTTCACATCTGGCATAAAGTATGTTGCACAAAAATAGTAATGGAAAGTGAAAATGCGAATACAAAATCATTTTCTTATGTACGATCAATCACACATTAGCACATATAACACTGTATCTTCAGGAAATGAAAACAAACCTCTAACTCATTTAGTATGTATTTGCCATTGGCCTTTATGCACAGATGTATTTTTACTCCTATAAATATTGTTGACCCTAAATGTTGTCAACACTTGACCATTGCTGTTCGGTGCTGAGAAGCAAGCATGTTTTAATTGATCTCTCAACCAATTACAGGACCTGTTTTTTGGATCACGTTGCATACATCAATTTCAAAATATGTTTATGTTTAACAGACAGAACAAAGTGCATAATTAAAAAACACATTAAATACCTTTCTTTGTCCTTAGACTGGATACATAACATTTAGGCTTTATTCCATATGCTGTGGAAGGCTTACATCCTTCTTTAAAGTTGTATTTGGACGCTCAGCCTATTAGTTATGAACCGTTTAGTCAAATTCTGCTTGAGTAAACCGTTTCTCTGACAAGCTGTTTCAGTACCATAGCTGCTTGAATGATTGTGCTGCTGAGTTAATAAAAAGTCGAGCACAGACACAATGCCAGGAACTGGTGTTTAGAGGTTTTTCTTCTTTTTTTGGATGGCGAAGCCCTGAACGTTGAGGAAGCTGACAGCTGCGCCGCCACTTGATATATGGGCTTGTGTGTGTGTGTGTGTGTGTAGATCTTCTTGTGCGGCTACTGCATGGATGTTTGGTCAGATGACAGTTTGGCTGGCTTCGAGCAGAGCAGAGCAGCACAGTGACAGAAATCACACTCTATATTTGATTTGGCTTGCCTTCAAATGGAGCAATTTGTCTTTGCGATGCATCAGTGGGCACATCAGCAACTCCGTGCTCCTGTGAGTCCGCACGCACGCGCACAAGTGCGTGTGATTCTGTCTGTGTATGGATTTGTCGGATTTGCCTGCATTTCTGTTTACTGTATATGCCTGTTTATGGCTGAGTAAATGCCATATGTTTGTGTGCTTGGGTGTGAGCGAAGATTCACACAGAGCAGCTTGAAGGCAGCTTTAACCTCATCACCTACTGAGATATGTCAGTCACCAGGCTCTGATCTTCCTACCTGGTTTCACCATCCTCAGCAGGATGTTTTATAATATCAGCCTGTCACAGCAAACACATCAAAACACCCTCCATCTTCCCAGTGGTTAATTTCTTTGTTGCCCTTACCAAAGGTTTTATCACACACTCATTTCTCCACGTCTCTCTCTTTCAGCTTGTAGCTATAAACAATTATAACAACATTGAATGACTGTAATTATAAAAAGTAAAAAATAAAAAACACAAAGTAAAACTTGTCAGAGAAAGAGGAGAACCAAGCAGGTGGATGGTGCTGGGAGCTGATTTGCCGTGTGTCTATTGACCAAGTCATTAAAATCAGTGGTTGTCCTGATGAATATCAGCGGCTGGAAGTCAGTGCGAGATCAGCAGGGAAAGACTTCCTGACTACAGATGTGATTGAGCGCCTTTTTAAAAGCAGTTCCTGGCAGGGAAAAAGCACATTAATATCAAAAGGAAGCTATTATTTCTTCATAGCCCGCCTTGTTTAGATGGTGCCTCCGTTACACAAGCCATCCAAATGATTTGTTTTTTTCCATCTTGGTTAGAACTCTGAACCAAAATGACTGCCGGTAGCTCAGCTGTGGTTAGAGCTGATAGCATGTGGTTAAAAATGAAAAAAAAAAGAAATACAGAAAAATACAAACTAGTATGAAACAAACTGCATTTGTTAAACAAACAAACAACATAGAAATGAAACTTGCACTCTAAATAGACTAAGACTAAAATGGTGAATAAAACTTAAGTTTTAAACAACAAGATTGTGAAAAAAAAAGTTACGGAAAGAAATAGGTTGTTTAGTGAAAACATGTCTTTTGCCTAATAGAATTTAAATTGCATTTTCACAGTCTAATATAATAAAGCCTGTACATCCATGAAGATCTGTGCTACAGTTTTCTGCCTCGGTGTCAAATACCATTTTGACATATTCTTCCCTTTCGTTGCCCTTTTCACTTCCCCTCCGTTTCCCTCTGTTTCTCCCTCTCTGCGTCTCACTCACCTGCACACACAAGGGATCACATGTGTAAAAAGCACAAGGGATGAAACACGCGGCGGTAGTAGAGAGAGAGAGAGAGAGAGACAGACAGAGAGAGAAGGAGAGAGACATTAGACAGGGTTGCACACAACCAGCAGCACCCAGCCTCCTCTCTCTGCCCAGGAAGTTCATCTTCCAGTCAGCTCACATCAGCCATCATCTGGGGACCGAGCTGCTCTGCTGCTAGTGAATGCAATTAAGATGCCTTGCTGAGTTAAGATCAGTGTTTTTCTTTGCCATGGCGAGACTGGCGCCTGCAGACCTGAGGCTCAGCTTTCCTCCCCTCTAACCATTTCATTTGCCTCATCTGCTCTAAG